AAGAGTCGCTCTTTGGTCCGACTCTAAATTCCCTTGCGTTGTAGAAAGGAGTAATAAACACGATGAACTTTTCGTAGTATACTGGTAATCTTCAGGCAAATACAGATTTCTTCATACGAGGCGCCCAATTTATTATTCGTCTTAGTCCAAAAGTACGCTGAAAAAGGCTTGACATTTCAGGGGCACAAACAGCCGAGAAACCACACAGTATGAGCCCTAATAAACAGCTGCGAACAACAAAATGGATAGCAAATGGTACGGGAACTAACCGCACCGAGATGCCAACAACGAACCGCAGAGACTAGGGATTCTAGCCCTAATGCACTGCAAAGAATCACAAAGACAGACAGCAAATAGTACGGGAACTAACCGCACCGAGATGCCAACGACTAGCCGCAGAGACTATGGGTTCAAGCCCTAATGCCCCGCAAGGAATCACAAAGATGGACAGCAAATGGTACAGGAACTAACCGCACCGAGATGCCGACAACGGACCGCAGGGACTAGGGGTTCTAGCCCTAATACACTGCCAAATCACCAAAACGTACAGTAAATGGTACGGGAACTAACCGCACCGAGACGCCGACAACGAACCGCAAACTAGGGGTTATAGCCCTAATACACTGCCAAATCACCAACGGATAGCAAATGATACGGGAACTANACTGCCAAATCACCAACGTATAGTAAATGATAATGATGGTACGGGAACTAACCGCACCAAGATGCCAACGACGAGCCGCAGAGACAAGGGGTTCTAGCCCTAATAAACTGCCAAATCACCGAGCGGATAGCAAATGATACGGGAACTAACCGCACCAAGATGCCAACGACCAAGAGCAGAGACTAGGGGTTCTAGCCCTAATACACTGCCAAGAACACAGAACCGGGGTGGCAGTTACGCCTCAAAAGCACGACTATTGAAGGGTACGAGCCTCCAATACGCCGCTGACAATTTACTCGAGCGCAGAGGTTATAAGCCTATACCACGAGGGTGCGAATTGAACGGCTGTTAACCGCCCAACACAGCCAAAACCTGGAACTATCCAAGAACTCCACCTACGCCGTTATTAGTCCGTTAGAAGAACTTATTAAGAGTTATGCCCAGAAGTGCGGTGGAGTTTATTCTTGTAAGCCCAAATTGGCTTTGCCTGTTTGAGTCGAAACCGTGTCACCCCAACCCAGTAACACTGAGCACACACAACTTCTGAACGCACACAACGAAGGGGTAACTCAGCCAAAATGAGCTTACCCCAACACTCCGTTTACAATGTACAAGAAATGGGCTACTAAATTCGTCTATATGGAAAAAATAGATAATATAGTATATTATAATAAAATAGAATCATAATATAATCCTTTGGTCACATAAGGAACAGTGAAAGTTGATATAAGATAGAATAAATCCCGAGGATAATTAACTCGCGAGCGCGTGAGTCGATACTAGTTCGTCAATAGACCAGACAAATGAACATTAACTAAGCATTATAAGTATTATCACCTAATAAAATCATATTAATAAAGAGTATATCCTTTCGACAACATGACTACAGCTTCAATCGATTTCTTATATAACTTCTACGTTCTACCTCTAAGATGTCTAGCTTTCTTACGCAAGATGGAGACGCAGCCATCTTTACTTTAACGATGATATCGTCTATTAACAACACTTATCCTCGTACAGTACAACAGTAAATAATTACGATTATCGCAAAAGAGTCCTTTGACAAAATAATGGCACATTAAAGCGAATAAATCTTAGGTCCAGTAATATTTTACGATTAACATATCATAGAGTAAGTCTAAACGTGTCAGGGCTAGCAGACGACGCATGACGTCTAGCAGACGATTACACGCAACGCAGCAGACAGATGATATCACAACAAAGGAGATTCCTCGTTTCAGTCACGAAATAAAAATATGCTTACACATTCCTCAGTCATACAAAATAATATCACAGTAACGAGATTCCATATTCTAGTCATAAAAATATATGCAATCACATTGAGTCACTAATCTAACAAAAGAACATTATCAAAATAACACGCGATCATACAGTACTCCTAAAAAAATATCACATAATATGTATTCCGTCACAAATGTAAAAATTTTATATGACTGAGCGCTTGTACTTTCAATTAGATTCCACAGAACGCTTCCTTCACTATGCTTGGTGAAAGAATGGACTCTTTCGGCAAGTTTTACCTAGTTAGAGACGGATTCCAGAGCGTGTACCGCACTCGGTACAGGGATACCATCGGCCTGAACAGCGAGAACACCGAGTATCAGATCAACAAGACCGGTAAAATATTGTTCTCAGCAGCCCTGCAAGTCCTGGATGTTCCCATGGGAAGATTTAAGTCCCACAGGCAAGACGGTCCAGAGGATGAACAGGAGACTGTCATCTCAGCCTGCACAGTGGTACGTTGAATAATGTACTGTTTCATTTGATGGAATTTAGAGAAATGCTTTTTCGAATTACATTTTTGTATCGAAACAAGTAACGTGCTGTACCTATGTTAACATTATGTAGTATTAACACTAAAATTTCGTAACAATACGTCACTGTGCTGTGTGCTGTTTAAATAAATAATCCCAAATATTGCTTATGTTCCACAGCCAAGAATTCAACTGTGTAACTCATTTTAACTTTTATTTTAACCTTATTATCTTTACCAAAGACAGATTTATAACATAGCGTTATTGAGCCTTATTATATAGAATATACTCGACCATCTTTGTTAAACCACTAAATAAAAAAAATTGCCTTATCCTAACGCAAAACACTCTCGCTAATATAAGTTATTCCGAAAGATCAACAACCAAAACTGCAACCACCGAATCATTTTCCATGACCGCATCCTTTATTATCGAGGTAAAGCCATATCACGTTCATTACCAGAACATTCGATTTAATTTCATAATATTTGAAATTTATTCGTTTCGTGCTCGCATTCGCTGTGCTATGAATTTTCTGGGGGCGCAGCCAGCTGTAGGCCATAGATTTTACTCTGAAATAAAGCCCTGGAGTCAACGCCTAGCTTCACCATAGAATAGAATAGAATAGAAGTGTCGGCGTTGAAGAAATAGGCCCATGGCCTGTTGCCATGCATTAACTTTACTCAGCCTCAGAACTATAAGCCGCAGACTACGCTTTAACTCCGCAATCCAGACAAGCGACACACTGCTGAAAGATAATAGCACCGTAGGTATTCAGCCAATGCTTAAAGCATGCTCGCTCATTAGCAGGCAGTTCCCCATCCGGCTGTACCTACTCCGGCCAAACCTCTTCTGGCCTAACCTATTCACGCTGTCCCGGCTCACATCCTTCTTGCAGCCAATGACTGGCTCTACCCGCACACTTTGACCGCCTTTCTAACTTCTTGCAGCCACTGACGTTAGGTTAGGTCCGCTCAGGTTTGTTTTGGGTGGAGAAAGGTTGCAGCTCTTACAGGTTAGGCTTGGAGAGGTTAGGCCAGAGGAGGTTTGGCCACATGCAGTATGGCCATGTTTACCTTTGGCAAGCTTATTTTTTGGCTGTGGACATCCGGCGCCCTGGCTCTGAGCACTTGACATCATAGTCCGTTATGCACTCTGGCGTTCTTAACTAAGGAAAGGAATATGAACGAAGTGTGAAGTTTGGCAAAGCTGGCCTCCGGCATGCGCCCCACTTTTCTTTGGATCCATTCAGCTTCACTTGGATTTTTTGTGGTCTCCAAATCCTCTTCCTCTGAACTTCATTTTGGTTATTTTTATTTTACATTGCGTCCATTTTGAATTCATTTCTTCTTATTGGCACCATTTTTTTTATTGACTTTATTATATTCTCCAAAATCTAACGTAGACATTCATTTATCTATCTTCCATTCATATCTCTGTATGTCCAATACATTTTCCACTCGCTGTTTCATGACTGACAATTAGATTTCATCTTAAAAACAATAAATACCAATATTCTTTCGATTATTTTGTCATCCTGTCCTCAGGAAGAGTTCACGTGCAACGACGGCTCGTGCATCCCCCTGACGCAGCACTGCGACGGGCTGCAGCAGTGCCCCGACTTCGAGGACGAGGACTGTAATCCGAACAGCTACCTCGCACAGAACTATGACAAAACGCGCGCTCCTAGCATGAAACTTCCCATCAAACTAGCTGTCAAAATCACTTCCATTTCCGACGTGGATATTGGTAACGGGCGCATCAAGACACAAATTGATGTGAGTGAAACAAATCCTTGAGATATGCACTATCAAATTTAGACGATGTATTTGTCAAAAACTATGTCAGGATTTATTGTTTTACACTTTTCGTTCGGTGAAGTGAAGGACATTGCAACGCGAATGCTCGAGACCAAGTTGTGTTTCATGGCTCACGAAGTAATCTTATATACACATACTCATAACCCCGAGGACATTTCGCACAGCCCTTATAAATACTTTCATTGCTTAGATAATATTTTCTTACCATCTGCATGGTTTTAAGCACAAAAAATTCATCGACAACAGTGATAACTTGTTCGTGTTGTGTACATAAATCTATGCACATATTAACTCTAATTTAATTTAAACAAAACCACGTCAAAAATTGTCGTACTTCAGGTCGTAACTTCTTGGTCTGATGCAAGGATGGAATTCGTACAACTTGAGGAGGAGTTGGAGAAGAACAGCATTTCAGAAGACATTTGGTACCCGAAATACCGCTTCGATCCTTTAGTGACCGAGTTAGAGAAGCACATCAAGGAAGAAGAAATTATAGGGGCAATATTGCATATTGTTTTTTCCTTAAATGGCATATCAATATTCATTCAATGATAACAAACGAGTCGTACAATGAAGAATTATGAGTAATACAATGATGAGAGTGAGACCATTGAAAGTCCGTTTTAGGTCTAACAATGATGAGTTAACTGTGAAAACAACTCACCTTCGTGAGTTGTTTTTTATTCATCCGGCCTGTTGTTCCTTCCGCAGGCAACTCAGCTGGAACTAACGAAACAGACTATGTCACTGTTCATGGTGCGGTACAGCGGCTTCCAGGTACCGAACAACTGCACGCCACGCACCATCACCATTACTGTGCGTAACCAGTCGAACCTGACACTTGATTGTTTAGGTCCATTCTTCGGTACGTAATCATGTAATTGTAGCCGTAAACTCTCAGTTCACACTTTGAATACGGTTAGAGACAAAGGCATTGATTTGAAACCTAAACAGGGAAGATTATTTGCGTTTCAATACCATTTTTAATTATTGTTAGTGCACTTGTGTTTGAAAAACTACCAATGAAATGAAGGCGCTCTCCAGGCTTTGCCTCGCCAGAGTTCGGCTTATACAACTATTAAATTCTATACTTCACCAGAATCATGTCGTAGGCTCGCTGCTACATGATTTAGCTGTCGCAGTTTGTCGACGTTTGGAGCCACTGCTGTAGAGGTTTTGGTATGAAACGGAAAACGGTATTTTTTTAAATTAGTCATTTAAGATGATGCAGAATATTTCTGTATGATATAAATTTCATTTATGATTCATTCAAATACGAAACACAAAAGATGTAGATAGAGCCGAAAAGAGCTTCACGATAGAGCCGAAAAGGCATATTTGAGACATTTCTGAAAAAAACTGTGAAATCGAAAGGGAGTTTCCTTTAGTCTTGTTTTTGCATTCCTGCCGCTCGTAATACAGTCAGCATCAAAGAATTCATCAAACTATATTCGTAGATATTCATAACCTGCTGAGTGGCCTGTTGATAAGCTCCATGCCCAAAATGCAAAATTACAATATAATTTTGATGATTTTCGGCAGATGATGGATCGTGGTGTAACAAAAGTTATCTTAAAACGCTCCCTCGATCGTTTGGTTTGGTTGGATTGAGTTTATTTCGTTCCTCTAGGTTCTCAGAGTGAACAATTCATACTGCGAATGTTATTAAAGTTGTTGAACAATCAGTTAAAGTTATTCAGTTATTCTTTAATCAATCAGTTATTAACGTTAAAGTTGAACAATCAGTTGGTACCACAAAATATTTGTTTCGCTGCTAAATTCAATAGATTTTCTACTATGAACAACTTTATTTAATTCATAAACCTATTGATCTAAACAGTCGTGCTTGCGAAGCAGGTGCTGCTGGAGAGCCTCTACGGAGGCTTCGTGCTGAGCATCTTCATGCCAGTCGTAGTCATCACCACCATCGGCATCTCCACGCTCTTCTTCGCTTTCGAAGATTTCACGTTTGTATTACGACTTTGATGTTGTGGACTTTATTAATTCGAAAATTCTTCAACTGAAGCAACTAATGTGACGACATTTCTTTGTGTCAGAGGATATAACCCATCCCTTTTGCATGTTTGATAAATAAAGTGAGCAACGAATTCATTTGAAAATTCTTTAAAACAAAAAAAAATCAAATTACAATTCAACTCTATCTTCCTCTAAAACTTTTCAAAAGTTGCAGGAGTATTGAATAACTCATAATTTTCGAAGTCCCACGAGAAACTGGTCCCTTTAGATATTATATATTTAGTTTTTAAACAACTTTCTAATTTTGAACAGTGTCATCCTTTGTATGGGTACTCGTACATTTAAATGAGATGCGAAAATCGTGAACATAGGTCATAAAGCTATAATTGTAGTTATCATTAGCCAATCAAAGCTAATGTAATTTTTGTTGCAAACTAATGCGCAGTTTTGGAACATTTGACTCAATGTTCCAGCTAATACTATAATTCTGAAGCTATATATGTGTCGCATGCAGGGACCGCATCTCTGTGACGCTCTCTTGCCTCATCGTCTTGGCGGGTCTCTACTCGCAAATCTGCGTCGTCATCCCCATCTCGGCGGCCCCGAAACTCGTCGATGTTTACTTCTTCTACGCGATAGTTAGGATGTTTTTTGTATGCATCCATCACCTGGGTGTCTACCGGTGGCTGATTTACTTGAAAAATCAACAACATCGGCGAAACAACATCAGCGAATCAACAAACAAAACAAAGGGTATCTCATGTAAAGCCGCGACGAAGAACATCAAAGGGGCAACGAGTGTCCCTGCTCTTGGACCATCCGAGGTTGACACCGGCGGCAATACAGTAGAAGGCTTAGAATCGCCCAAGAAAAGGTCTTTCTTTGACTCGAACATGATCACGCCGGTGTTTATAGGTCATCAAAACACTAAAGGAGAGGACAACGCAGACGATGCAGGGGCTGCCAATGCTGAAGCGGACAAACAATTTTCTAAAATGTATGCCAAATTTAAAGTCGCTAACAACATTTCGTTTGTTCTGGGAGGCGTGTTTGATCTTCTATTCTTCGGATGCGTTGCTCCTATGATTATATTATCGAGGCAATACGTCTTTGCTCAGTTTCCTTCTGTGACCCTCAGCCAGTGAGAAGCATTCCTGTTTTTTCTTCAACCATGCGTTCCTATATTTATTCTATCCAGCTAACTCCTTATATCTAAGGCGTGAGCCATAGATCTATGATAGTCATAGATAATTTGGATCTATGGCAATTAATCCAAGAATGCAGTGCACGTAGTCTGCTAGTCCATAATGTTTTAGCAAACCTATAAATTATGTATTCAGTAATATGGACATTTCATTGACAGTCTTCGTAGTCAAAGTCTTCAATTAAACTATTTATTTCATGAATCATTTCCTTCGCAACAACTGAACATAGTTATGGTTTGTGAGAGAATCGTACAATTTTAATGATAGGCTACAACTGACCTATAGACTTTGAAAGGTATTTCATTTAGCCAAGAGGTCTAGATGAAAGTTAAGGATTAGTGAACTAGTGAACTAGTGAAGTGAACAACATAAAGATTGTTATTTGAATGGCAGAAGTCACTGTAGCAGCGTGAGAAGAGATGGTAGTGGTGATGGCAGTGTTGTGGTTGAGTAGTATATGGCAGTAGTAAGCATTCTGATTTTATTTAATATTATTTAAGTAGTTTTAGTTCTGGCTCGAGTTCTGAAATAAGTTATGTAGCGTTATTATTGCCTGGCTGTTGTAGCGGTATAATACAGTATTTAGTGTAATTTTAAGGATAAATTTATTCAATACATGAATTGACTAAACTATGTGCGACGAACACCAAAAATTGAATAACGAGTCTATGAACAAGTGTATTCCGAACACTCAAACTTGACGTTTGTTGACGTAGGTGTTGTTGAATTTTATTGTATGCACGTACGTGTCGGATAACTTCTACGGTTTATAGTTTTCATTGATCTTATTCAATGATTATATTATCATGTTTTATCACTATTTGATGTTGAGTGTACTTGCTCACACAGCTTGGTGATCAAGTATGATGCTTTTCAAAAGAACATAGCACGACACTTACTGGCAAATGCAGTTATATCTAGTTAATTGAAGCGGTAAGAGGAGATTTGTTAACGCAACAATCCTAAAATAATTATGAACATACACTGCAAATCCATGATATAACAGTCCGATGGAAAAATGTATTGACATCACTCGTACCGTGCTGCTGACGGCAGTAAAATATACGAGGGAGCATCATCAAGACGCGGCAATGGAAGCCGCGCAATCTTATCAATGCAACAATTCAGAAAATCTTATTATAATTTTTTCAAGTTCATCAATTGAGAATTTACCAGTTGATTCAAACAATTCAGAAATCCATTTAATTGAGAATTCCTTCCAGAATTTGGAGATCTGCAGCCTCATTTTCTAATTATACCAAATTATATACATGTGTATACTTGTATTTGTAGCTTCGCATTCTAAGTTTTCAGTTCAGAAATACGAAACAGTGATCTGTAAGCTTCTTGTCCTTAATTCATTACCGTTTGTGAATGCAGGTTGTCAATTTTCTTTTCAATTTGGTTAAGGTTTGTTCACTGTTCGCGTCATTTAATGATTATTTCATTGAGCTTGTTATTCATTTTAGTTATATTCTCTTGTTAGATGGTGTTTTAGGAGACAACACTGTTTATTTATGCCGTAACTTGTGTTCATTTATTTGATACTTTAAAATATTCATTCTTTTTAAATTACTTTGGATATTCGTCTCGATATGTTAATTCAAATAGCGATCCGACACCTCGTACTTTTTAAGTCTATGTTGAGTCTCGTGAATATTTATCTGTATTAGGAGAACCTAGACCACCCCTGCAACATAATTTAACATAGTTGTTTCTTGCATGTACCCACATATGTATTTATCTTGGACTATGTTTATGAGAGGCTATATGTACACGCCTTCTTGCTATCTACGCACTAAAGATCGTAACCTTTCAGATTCAATTTAATGATGAACGTGCCTGAATTTAAGCCAGAAAAGCCCATAACGTTCAACTTACGCTACATCATTAATTTAATGGAAGCAATAGCACAAACACATTTTTTAGGAGAGTATTTAATAGATTATAAGTTTTATAATTTGATTTAGATCCATAAACAATTCTACTTCGAAAGTGAACACAAATATTGCATTGGTCTTATGACTGTTTATACTCGTAATTTGGATAACGATTTAGGTTCTCTGGAAACTCTGCGGACTTTGTTCATAAGGTTTGAGTTAGTCTGAGGTCAAGCTTCCTAGCTTTGAGAAATCTTATCCTCAAAAATAATTTCACATTAGTCCCTATAAGCAAAGTCGTTCTAATATATTAAATAATAAAATGTGGGTTCATTTTTATTTCACATTTTATTCGAAGTTATAACATGTATATATGTTGGAATATAATATACAAAATACAAACATGAATAAATCATATATTATCCCAGGATATAAGGAGCTGTAAAAAGAATATATAAATATTCATAATATATTGATCATAGCTTCACAAGCTCTATATACAGAATCGTAAGAAGGCAGCGTTTATAATGATAAACATACGTCAGCACATCATTATTAATAATAACGATGAGCATGCGTCAACACATCATTATATATTAGGTAGCGCACCGATCTTTATTATCAGCCGAACATCGGACACTGAGTAATGATGAGTAAATATAATGACCTCTAGAACAATTGCTCAGAGACAACTTTATTCACGGGTTTTTATTCCAAATTGATGACCTTGTGCAACATATATTGCAGACGAGAATTCCGTTTATACCGATAACATCTATATTTTGTTGAAGATGCAGCTGTAATGACGCGAAGTTTCAGGCTGAGTTATTTACTCTAACTCCACCAGCAGAGATATTAATGTTTCACCCGACATTGAAGTCTTCATAATCTTTGATGACAGAATATTGATTTAAAAAAGAACTTTTAAAAGATTAATATCATGAATTCATGATAATCCTTCACGTAATGAGGCATTCGCTTGTACGCTGTGTTTACAACACTGGCATGTGTCAGTCTGAGCAACTTCATCAAACATTCCAGGCTAGAACCAATTTAAATAATTTCGTTTTAGACTTGGAAAAATACTAATGTATTTGTTTGAAAAGATCTTTATGCCATTACTTGTGACTATAAAGTAAGTAAGCATCGTAAATTTTAGGCGCATGATCTAGCGTTCATATATATAGACTCATGCACGGTCCCGAGCCAGAAGCCTGCCGGGTTCCAGAACATCAAACGGGCCGGCACACATGTAAGAAAAGCGCATAAACGTGCGCTGGAACTTCTTAGTTTGTAATTACATTAGAGCTTAGAGCTTCTTAGTTTGTAATTTGAGTGAGAATTTGGTTTCACTCGAATCCGTACATGTTAAAATAAAATAAAGGCTTAGTTCCGAAAATGGATGACATCATTCGGAAAAGTTATTTAGTCATTCCTCTTACTCATGGCTGAATTGAAATTTAATGCATAATGGCTGGCAAAAATCTAACAAATCATTCAAACTTCACCTGGCATTATAGGTTTAAACTAAGCTAATCTTAATTTATAACCAGATGATAAAGATTCTATTAATAAAATACGTCCACTTCGTGCTGCGTCCACTTCAGCGAATTTGAGACTGGGACAGCGGCGAGCTGTGAGCACGACCTGAAAGATGTTATCATCAGTAGAATTAATTGCACCCATTATAACCATTTTTATTGCCAAGCCAATCGTGTTATTCGTATTGTTATTTGTACATGCACTTCATAAACATCGGGTGACCAAATAATTGTGCGCTTAGGCTACACCCCCCGCATATCATAAATTTTATTTACATGGTTGAAAAATTAAGTGCCGTGTCCAGAAGACATCACTCCTCTATTTCGGTAGATAATAGTAAAAAAAATATAACTCGGTAGTCACTGCAGTGAGTGACAGAGAGCGCATTTTCTCGTCGACGAAAACTTGAGGTCACGGACAGACGGACGGACAGACGGACAGACAGACAGACGGACGGACGGACATGGCGAGCACAATAGTGCATTTTTTCTATAAATGAGAAAATGCGTTAAAAATGCTATACGTTAGGAAATTTGATTTCCTGTTAGCTGAAAGTACGAATTGTATACTTTTTAGACCCTACACCATCAGCTTAATCTTACATTATTAAAGCGAAATGTTTTAAACAATTTCTGTCAAGTGGCTTCTCCCACTATATTGACAAACTGGCTATGTTATCTGAAGTTGACTATTACATTCCGAGTCACGTCTGGAGGAATGGCTTCAACTCCACCAACTAAATAGTCACAGAGGAAAAATCTTCGGTCGTTCGTCCGGCTAACGCAATGGTCAGCCAGATTGCGATTGACTAATAAATAATGACTCAAAGAGATTGACTTGCTATGAAACTTGAAACGTTTTTAGTTTAGGCCAGAGAAACTCGAGGAAAATGACACAATTAATGACGTCGCTTGTGCACAGCCACATTCCCGCTAATTTATTTGAAAATTGACGGGACTGATTCAATATTTCCTGTGTCTGTTGCAGTGAAGGTTTCTACTTTTATGCAGAATCATTCTCACGAAAGTTTGAAATCCTAGTAAAAGTTGCTTTCTGCATGATCGGGATCAGGGTATCTATATCTTGCGCAAAGCGAATACGAAAGGAGTATTGTGTATTAATTAGTCATCGTCCATTTTGATGAAATATTTCCAAGACGAAGGCACTTAAAGTGTAAAAATAAAATATCGTTACATATCCTGAAATCGCATAAATAATCTATACACTTGCAGTTCATAAAAATAGAAACTTTCTGTCTTATTTCATTCGATTTTCATAAGCTTACGTAATAGCTTATGTTATTAGCCCTCTCGAACTCTATATACTTAGTAATCTGGGAATAACGCTGTTTGAAAACTATTTTATGAATATAAAGCAGTGGTTATCAAACTTTTTCAGGCTGGCGCCCCCTTTGGCTCCCTAGTGAATTTCTAGCGCCCCCCACAGACATACGCCTCTCTCTTGAAATTTAGTACGCTGCAATTTTAAAAGTTGAAGGTTAAACACAAATGTGTATTTCACAAATAGAACCCCTTTTAGTGAACCAATATGTTTTTCAGCTGTTTTAATTGTTTCAGTATCAGAAACCAAGCACGTCTCGAGCAAATTTACGGCCCCGACTCGTGGCCGGTCTCACGACCAATCTCCAAATTCAATTATCAAGTAATATCTCCCAAACTAATGAACGCCGCTTAATAAAGCTTGGAACATGTATTCATCAAAACTCAACGGTGATGTTTAGTATGCGAAAATTTTTTAAATATCACCTTCATTCGTGAGTTATATTGCGATACAGGCCGAAATTCTCAGTGATCAAAGAATTTCTTCCAGACTACCGAACAGATTTGAACGATATTTTGAATAAACATTCCCAACTACCAGATGGTGTTCTTAGATTCTAAAAAATTTATTGATTTTACCTTCGTTTGCGAGATTTTTTTTTTTAATTTCAACGTCATTCTTGATTTCACACATCCTTATTCGCTTTCGTTCGCAAGTTATACAAATATAGGAGGAACGACCGGCTTTTCTGCGGGCTGGTTTAACCAAGAGCCTTTTACGAATAGCCGTGTAACTCGCAAACGAAGGCAAAACGAAAAAATTGTAACGAGCTAAACATCAACGTTGCTGAGGTTAGGTATTAAAATACTAAATTTCTTTCAAATCTGTTCAGCAGTTTGGAAGAAATTTCTTGATTACTGCAAATTAAAGCACGTATTGCTGTTTAAATCACGAATGACACTCGCGAACGAAGGCACAGTCGAAAAATTTTTCACGAGCTGAACATCACCATTCGGTAGTTAGGACTGTAAATTCAAAATTTCGTTCGAATCTGTTCAGTAGTTTGGAAGAAATTCAGTGATCACTGGGAATATCGGCCCGTATTTCCATTTACCTATGGCAAAAACAATTGAAGGCAAAATTCAAAAAAGTTTCACGAGCTTTACATTACCGTTAGGTCCTAATGAATACGTGTACCAAGTTTCATCAAGTTAAGTTCATTAGTTTGAGATATATTTCTTGATCATTGAATTTGGAAATTGGCCGTGAGACCGGCTGCGAGTCCGGCCGTTAATTTGTCAGAGACGTTAACCCAGGTGAGGTTAAAAAATATAACTCAGTACTCACTGCATTGAGTGGGAGAGAGCGCATTTTCTCGTTGACGAAAACGTGAAGTAACGGACGGACAGACAGGCCGACAGACGGACGGACTTAGCGAGCACAATAGTGCATTATTTCCATAAATGAGAAAATGCGCTAGAAACAGATCTGGGTAAAAAAACCATCGCTGGTAGTCATGTGCTGCACGTGTAGTGTACAAATCGTCAAACAGACGTTCGAATTTAGACTTTGGACGGCCGCCCCCCTATCGCCCTTTTCTTCTTTACCGCATCCCAAAATCTTTCCACCGCCCCTAGGGGGGCGATATCGCCCACTTTGGGAACCACTGATATAAAGCTTCAAATTTCCATCCAGGTACTTTCTCTACAAATTGTGTTGAGCGAGTTGGTGCGTCGGATACGATGGCAGAGCGACGCTCAGTGTGGCTTCTTCGCTTGACCGTACTCAGCTGCATTACTCAACAAAATCTCATACTGGGTAAGGAATGAAAAATATTGTGGCATATTTTTTAGCATGTATTTAATATTTCTCAATTTATGTTAATGATATAAACGACCGTAATAAATTACCAGCATCGTGCGGAATTTACTTTTTAGCCCAAAATGGTGAGGTTTTGGAGGGAAAGATTAAAATCTGTTTCGTCAACATTAGTGCAAGGCTGTTTTCACCTGTCGTTCAACTAAATTGATAAACATATTTATGTCTTTCTTTAATCGGATTTTAGAAAGCTACCTGAAATGGTTTCGTTCGTTAATGAATTTTAAAAGATTTGGAAATCGTTGTCTTAGATAAATTCTAAATTGGGCTAACAGGAGCGCCGGGGTTCGCCATCAGCGAGCAACGGAAGATCAACTACCTGCAAGACGCGCTTAAGTTGGCCACAAGCTTCTCGCTGCCTGCCAACCTAACCACTGTCTCCTACTGCCTGCACTTCAAGCTGCTCTTTGTGTCGGATGAATCCTGTTCACTCTTCTCTATCTACCCACTGAGCCTCATCGCATGTGAGAATCTTTTCTAACTTGCAACCTAGTTAACGGGTATAATTTACCTTGTTAGCTCCGAGGAATACTCAATATTTCCATAAATTCCACAAATTTATGTGGCTTCTAATTTGCTAACTAATCGCAGTTCCCGTTGACTCTACAGGATTTTGTCTTTTGGCACATCTCGTTGCATACGTTTTGAATTTGTAAGTGAAGTAATTTTTTCCTGCAAATTATCCACAGGGACTAGTAGAAATTTATTCATTAGGCACACATCTGAATCCATGACTGCCTTAGAATTTGACCGTTCTCCTGAGTAAGTTTTAAGCTGCGTGCAAATCTCATTCCTATAGGGCGGCTGGTCATAGGCAATGTGCAGATAGCAAATAGGCAATGTCAACAATGTAAAGATAATGAACCTAATTATTAGGAACCAATATTATCCCTCATAGAATATTCAACACAGTTACGCAATGTTCATGCCCCAATTCGCCACTTTTACTCACTAATAAACGAGTTTGCTCATTGCAGTCGCTGCTCGAGCTCTATACTTCACCGACGGCCCTTCACTGTCGTACATGGTGCTGGACTACGAAGTGCCGCTGCGTGAGTGGGTGCACATCTGCATCTCCATATTAGGTGACGCGAAAGTCTTCATCAATGGCGTCGAGAAACGGACGATGGTAGTTGTGAATACTTCGGTCCCGATGTCAATGGTAGGTTAATATCGAATATATACACGAAGAAAAGATCTTGGACATGAGAAACGGACTTGGCATAAATGAATATAAGACTGATAATAAATCTTGACTAAAAACGTCTATAAAATATTTAATGTTGAACAGATTATAGATGCAAAAGTAAACGTGTGTTTCCCGGGCTCAAAGATGGAGGTGCGTTGGCTTGCGTTTGCTTCAATTTACGAAATGAATGGAAACTACGAAATGGACTTCGGGGCATACGTCACTGTTCCTGTTGTTCTATCAAGAAAAATTTCTGCGCTGGAGGTAAGTTACATTTATGTGCTGAGTAGCGTATGCAGGACATAATATTTCATAAAACATCTCCGACTATTTTTTTCTGGCTGTTTTCAGATTCCTGATATTTTTTCAGCTCTCACTCATTTTCTAAGACCGACAATATTATTCTTGGCTAATATGTTACCATTCAGTTCTATAAAAAAAAACATTATTTACGGAACGTAGTTGCATCTCAAGTGCTATGACTTTTTTGCAATCAAAATTTTACTTTTTTGATAATTCTTGAACTTTAACTACATTCCTAATTTTTTTTTTTTTTTGTATGTGAAAATGATAATGTATGTTCGACAGAATTTAATCACATTATCGAGGGTAGTGAATAATACATTGTAAGGGAAGCACTATAAATATGTACAGATTAATTGAAAGACACAAAATATCAGCCTGAATAAAGGTCTATATAGTTAACAATCTAAACGAAATGGTTAACAATGTCTTCCTCAGGCGTTTCAATCTGCCGAAATTTTCCTCTGTCATTGAGTATAGCTCCATCTCGTGTTTTCCACCTAATTCTCTTTAAAAACTTTTATCCAGTTTCAATTCATGGCTCAAAAATTTTCAGATGAAATGAATGGCTGCTGACGAGATAAATAAAATTTCATTGGGATTATTCATCAATGAGAATATTTTCGTTTAAACAATTTCGACATTTTTCGAGGGATTTAAAAAAATACCTATATTTAAAAAAATTATTTATTGATATCATTCTTTTCTATGGATATGCTGGAGGAGAAGAATCTCTAACCATGCAGACAAGAGTTGAACATTTGCAACGACTCAATTAGTCGTAGCACCAATCTTGCCTTCAAAGTTTCCCTTAACCATCTACCGCCGTATGTCACACTCCGCGAACATAACTTCCAACTCAAATTATACGTAAACTATTGGGTAGGAAATGCGATATTTGCGCGACAAGAACGTGATTTTGACCCGCGATGTGAAGCTGGACCCAGCGACCAACCGCAGCCCCTGGACGCCGCTCAACTCTTCGTACAGTCGCCAGCCCGCGTTGCCCGAGCCCGCGTGAGTTTATGGAATCACGGTAGGATTAAATATAAATTGTTTAATTGTCATCTTTTTTGTTTGAAACCTGCACTTTTAGTATTTGCAGGCTTTATAATATTTAAACCTGCACTTTTTGGGCACGTATGTACAATGTCAATCTGTTCAATTATTATTAATAAATTAATTATACTGGCAAATCTGATCATGGAGATTCCGTAGTAGAATTACAAGGCTTTGCCGAATTATGGTTAGGTTGCAAAATCACTATATAGTTCAGTAAATTTCCATTTGATTCAGGTATAGAATCAGACTGGTATTTCAATTCTAAACAAAAATTGCTCCCTATATAAACGGAATATAAATTCAATTCTAATGTTTCATTTTTTTCATGAACATAATTATTAAAAAACAATAGCTTTGATACAGTTCAACAATAAGAATTCAGTTTTCAGTGGCTTCATCTTGGTTTCAATTTATATTCGTGGTAATTTTTGTTTAATTTTCACTTTCATTCGGCTTCATTTTAGCTTCATTTTTGCGCTACACATCGCACATCGTATTTCCTCAACATTTTTTCTCGAGATTCTCCGAAAATTTTCATTCGTCATCAACATTGAACAGATAATTTTTTTAAACACTTTAAAAGTAGATCAAAATTTATCAAAAATCTTTTTTCCTCCAACTCATATCATAAAAATTTTACGGAAATTCTGGTACTCCCAAACGCCAATTTTGTATTTTCCAAAATTTTTCCGCATTTCCCCAACAATTTCCTAAAAAAAGCATAAAATTTGTAAAATTTCCATTCACACTCTCTCACACTTTTAATTTCATTTTTCTATTCATTTTTTATTCTATATTCGCTTCTAAATCTTTTATAAACAATTTTTCGACATTATTTCAGGATTTTTCGTTAAAATCATTCGAAAATTTATTCTACATGCTACATAACTGTTTCCGAAATTTTCATAAACGTTCTCTTTCGAGCCGTTTTTTATGGAACTTTCTCAGTATCTTCATTCTTTTGACATGTCATTCTTCTTATTTGCATTTTCTAACATTCAACCTAAAATTTTCTAACATATTATTTTCGACTCATTTTCATACTTTCCTCTATATTTCAGCCATTTAATAGAAGTAGTCCCCTATTATTCAGCAATTTATTAAATTTTACTCATGTTTTTCCAAATTTTCCTCAAAAAACATCATTTTTACACAATTTTTCGAAAATTTTACAGATTTTTTCGAAATTTTTAAGCCCTTGATGTGTTTTTTCGAAATGTTAAGAATAATCTCCCTCATTTCTAACTTTTTACAACACTTCTCTTTAACTTCACTTCTTGTTTGTCTGTTTGTCTGTCTGTCTGCTACAAATCTTGTAATCAAAATTTAACACACTTCTACTTATCCTATCGATCTGAAATTTTGCATACTTGTTTAAAGTTGGAGACAATGCATGAATCAAATGTCAAAATAAATGATTTTAAAAAGTAAAATTTTTTTTTCAATATTAAAAAATTGAAAAAATAATTTTGTCAGCTACAAATCTTATAACTGATATTCGACACACTTTTACGTGTCTAATTGATCTGAAATTTTGCACACGTGTGTGAAATCAGAGGCAATGCATGAATCAATTAACAGAATAAATAATTTTGAAAAAATTTATATATTAAAAAAAATTATATACCTATATTAAAAAAATTGAAAAGTAAATTTTTTTAATTTTCGAAAATTAGATGAAAAATTCATTGTACATCTGTAAGATTGGAGATACTAGATTCTTTGGAAGTGTTGTCTTTAAAAAGTAATTTTTAAACATATATTATTTACACAAATTTTTGAATTTTCAATAAATGCAATATTAAAAAAATAAATATATTTCACAGCTAGCTGTTAGTCGAGGACTCCTTGAAAATTGTTTGGGCAGCAATAATCATGACTTTCTAGTGTTGGTCAAATCGGCCTAAAAGCAGCCTGCAGGCTTGATGTGCAATCCATAGAGAATTCTATACGCGAAAAAACAATTAACGTATCAATCATTTTAGGAACTCTAAACCACAACTATATTATTCAAAGCAGCGTGGAAGTGTTGGACCTAAACCCATGCGCCGCCTTCACCACTGAGCTGCGCTACTTGGGCACAGGTGGCTTCACTTACGACGAGGCTGCCAGCTGGTGCAAGAAGTTCACAGGCGTTTTACCATCTGCCAACCACTCTGAAATAAAGAGCATTAAGGTCATGGTAAGAAGACCATTACAGAGATGGGTAATGTAACAATGAGTGATCTATGCAACGATTTGATTAACCTCTGGAAGCGATTATGATAGTTATTTTAAAGTAATACATTGTACATTATTGTTACAAATATATTCCTTTGAGTCAACAACATTATTTTGTATTTTGAAAAAATAGTTACGTACTGTAAGTGAAAGCCAGTCGTAATTCATGTTGATTTTGCTTTTAAGGACCGAATCGGATCAAGATTTTTCTGCCTCTTGAGCAGCAACTTTTCATTACAAAAATAGTAATATACATAGCAGCTGGCGCAAAAAAAATTAGTTTCCCAAAACTTGCAGTTGAATCTTTAAACTATCTTTAAAGCTAGATGAAGATTCTTACGAATCAGTGCATAGGGTGGGTAGGACTAGTCGATTCGGTACTTTCCAAAAGTAGTGTGAAAATATTCATACAAGATTCATTATTTACTGATTTTTTCATGATGATGTTCAAAAACCGAGACTATTAATTTATCTGCTCATTCTCGCAAAGCTGCAGAATCAAGAGCAATCAGGAGCAGCACCCCTACCGAGACAGAGTGTTGCTCCGACATTTGAATAAAAGTTTTCTGAAACAGTTTTAACCATGAGTTACAATGTATAAATAATTAATCTTTTGAATGTTGTCTAGGCTGTTCATTCACTGCAACCTAAAAAACAATCGAACCCATTGACCAATTTTTTCCCCATACAACTCGGGGAAATATATCATGTCTCGAGCATTAGCCGATAGTCTTACTGATAAAACTTCCCTTCTTTTACAGCTGGCGGCAAAGCGATCCGGCTCTTATTTTTGGTTGCGGAAACAAGCCCTGAAGAATACCTGCTCAATGGTAATGCAGTCCGATTCAAGTAACGCGGCTGTGCTGGAGATGGACTGCGGCAGTAAAATACCGAAGCAGCTCGTGTGCGAGGTATGTACTTCATCAGTAGTTTAAGTGTGCAGCAGTGGTATGAGTCTTAATTAGCAGTGGTATGAGTCTTAGCAGTGGTACCCAGCCCAGGGCTATACCCCAAAATGGACTGGCAGGACTCAACTTTCTCCATTGAAGAACAGATTGGGAGGCAATATGGAATGAACTTGACGAAACTGACTGGAGAGAAGAGTTTCACGATATGAATGCAGAGGAAACTTACACAAAACTTTGAGAGAAATTGGCACAGGTATGTNCACGTACAGGATCAGCGGCATGAGGGAGCTGAACCTGAACTACTGGGGAAGGCTGAAACACCTGAGACTGTACTCACTGGGGAGAAGAAGAGAATGGTATATCATACTGTACACTTGGAAGATAATAAACGGACTGGCTCCCAACTTCGAGAGTGAGACCTCCAAAATAATGACATATTGCAACGAAAGATGGGGGAGACGGTGCAGGATTCTTCCATTTTATATTTTATAACCGATCCGCGGCCAGAGTACAGACTCTCTTGAGGGATCACTGTCCGTGGTAGGACCAAAGCTCTTTAATGCCTTGCCAAAAGTGCTGAGAGGAGGGGAGTTCACCCTTGCAACATTCAAGAGACGACTGGACAATTGGTTGAGAAAGATCCCGGATTGTCTAGTAATGGGAAACCACCCTCAGCAAGTGACAAGCAACAGCATCTTGCATCAGCTGGCCCAAAGGAGGGCAAATAGACGGAACACGGCCAACGTTACATCCGGGACCAGATCGAGGGCGGGGTGACCTGCCTAGCGACGACTCGGAGACGGAGGATGACGAAGGCGGAGCATCAGCTTGACCGTGGACTACGACGTCCTAAACTCATCAAAAGTTCAAGGTCACAAGTGGTATGAGTCTTAGCAGTGGTATGAGTCTTAGCAGTGGTGGTATGAGTCTTAGCTGTGGTGTGAGTCTTAGCAGTGGTATTAGTCTTAGCAGTGGTATAGTCTTAGCAGTGGTATTAGTATTAGCAGTGGTATGAGTCTTAGCAGTGGTATGAGTCTTAGCAGTGGTACGAGTCTCTGGAGAGCATGGCTAAGCTTTCACCAAGCTTGGAAATAAAAATTTCGCCTTGTTTTTACTGTACCTGCTAAGTATGACACACAAAGTTAAGCGTTGTGCAGGGAAATTACAATAAATCGATATGATAACAACTCCTTTTCATAAATTAATCTAAAATATCTGTTTCACTCATACGAAGATTCCAGAAAACGCATCATTCTCCGCGCTAGGCGATGAAATGGAGAAGTTCAACAAGTTTTACTTGGATAGAGATGGTGTGCAGAGCGTGTACCACACTCGGTACCGGGATACCATTGCCCTGAACAGCGAGAACACCGACTACCTGTTCACTATGACCAACAAGCAGATGATCATTGCAGCCAAGCAGGGGCTGGACGTTCCTATGGGAAGGTTCAACTCCCGGAAGACGGACGCTTCGGGGGATGAAGTTGAAACTGCCATTTCTGCGTGCTCTGGAGTATGTTGGATATTGTTCTGTTAATTGGTCGGAAAATATGATGACAGGGTTACTCTTAATATTTTGTATCAGTATTAATATTGCGTTTCATTAGGACGAATAGTTCTTTATTTTGCTCTACTTCGTACGTATTGCATGTGTACTGATGTTATATTACGTTAGACCCAATCTTGCTATGTCGTCTTCTTCACTTGCTGAATATACTGAGATGTGTTATTTTGAGACCATTGTTGTACTTTATCTGATAATGCGTAGCAACATTGTAGATATAGAGTTGTGCTGAAACTCATCTTGCATTACAATGTTCATACTAATGTTATATTATATCATTACCTAGTGCATGATTTATGTGAACTGATGTTTTGTTGTACGAACATCGCTTTAAATATTTTTTTATTATACGAGCACTAATAATTAATCATTTCCAGACAACTTACTAACAAACCCAGCATATCGCATTCAATATATGTTTATCACATTAAAGATCAAATAATCCCGCCATTTATCATATCAGTAAACATCGTTTTTCACCATATAACTAATCCCTGATAAATTTAAATCATTCCAACATTGGCTTTATGCAAATGCTTACCAAACTCATTCTCAGCGGCATGTAATCCATTACCATCAATACATATAATTTCACAATCCATTACCAACGGCATTTAATCCATTTTCAGCAATGCTCAACCCTGTACCATGAAAACCTAACCCTTATAATATTTTTTACTTAACTATTAATGTCACTGGATTGCTTGAATCGCAGATTCACTAGAAATTTAAAAGCGAAGAATACTCCACATAAATTCAGCTTTTTTTAATTTTGAAAAAGTTTTGAGGTCCAGCTCTATCGTCAGTTCGATAAATCTAGAACACAAATACAATCAGAAGTTTATAAAGTTTGGATTCAAAATAAAAAATACAGAAGTTATAAACCTAAATTTACAGGCAAGAGGCAGAGTGATAAAGTCTGCCTAAACCTGATAAAGTCTGCCTAAAGAACATGTCTATTCACAATTTCTAGTGGATATGAACTAAAGGCTGCATTTAAACTAGGCCTATCTTTAAAAATTTATAAGGATTCCAAAATACACAGGTCTGATGCACCAGAACAAGAAGCTAAAAACTTAAAGCCGGTGTCGGACACTGGAACGTTGCACTGATCGGCGTGAGTGCGCACAGACGAATGAGGAGGGTGCGTTAGTAACTGCCCAGCCCTATAACTCCTCCCTCTATGCTCAGCAGCCCTAGAGTAAAGGTTGCATGACGTCATTCCAAAGTAAGCAAATGCACATCGTGCACAACTAAATTTATAAACTAGGGACGATTGCATGTGAGAAGGGAGGATATTTTTGTACCTAAAAAATGAACCTACTTTAAAATTATTCACCAGTAAGATATGAAGATTAATGTTCGGAAAGTATTTCATTAAACAAATCTTTTAATTCTCTTGACATTGCTTCAGAGGCATGGCCGAAGTATGGAAGAGAACAGTATACAACGTTTCTACTATCTGGCTCTGGAACAACTTCACTGTATCGCTTAGACATGAATTTCTTAATTTGGGTTAACACCAAGCCACAAGGAATTCCATTAAGCGAGAAGATATTGCACAAAAAATTCAAATTCGGAATGCATGGCATGGAAAGTCAGGCAAATACGAATTCTTCTATGTTTGTTGACCGCTTAAAGGATTTTACCGATGTTCAGGATTTTACTCTATGGCCTCTTTTGACGAGGAAAATTTGTTTACTAATATAACTCTTTTTGAAACTATCGAAATCTGTGTCAATTCTCTGTTTAAAAATATTCCTGATACTGTTATGGGTTTAAACCCCAATTTTGTTAAAATTGCTCCTGGAATAATCAGTTCTAAATTTGATTTTATTATATGCTGGTAAATTTTACAGAAAGATTGACGGTTTTGGCCTGGGTTTTACCCTCGGCCTAGCCTTTACTAATATTTTTATGTGTTTTCTCAGATTTCATGGCTGACCATTATTCCTCCTGACTTTAAACCAATATTTTATAACAGGTACGTCGCTGACAGCTCTCTTATTTTCAAACTTCCCTCTCATGTCAGGGTATCTTCTATCACCCTCTAGGTTATCATACGTCACCCTCTTATAACATGTTCTCATTGTTCTGTACCCACATGGTAGAGTCACACTCAGTGACGTCGTCCCTGTTCGGGCGAACAGGGACGTACTGATTTGTACTGAGAGTCGGGTACTTATTGTTCCAAGTAGGACTAAGGCAGGACAAGTGAAACACGATTAACGCTAGAACTATTATAATAATAAACTGGCTCGGTGAGTACAGAAAGACGGGGATTGACAGGTACAGCACAAGTATGTGCCGGAGTAGCGGCTAGCAAGATGACGGCTAGGCAGTACCGCTACAACTGAACTACTAGAGACCTGACTCTCAGTTACTAAACTATCAGGGGGTCGCAGAAATAGACCCCGGACACTCATGTCAAACTTTTCTTCGATTACCTAAACTTGCAACGTAATTCTATTAAATTTACCATGGAACTTGAATCAAACAATAGTTTGTCTTTCCTGCACTGCAATATTACTATATATAATGGTCGTTTTCAAACATCTGTTTTCCGAAAATCAACTTTCACCGGTATAAGCACCAGCTTTTTAAGCGTTTGTTCGTTTATATTCAAGTTAAACAGGCTTCAAACACTATCACACCGCGGCTATCGTAGTTGCTCGACTTTCCATGCCATGCATTCTGAATTTGAATTTCTGCGCAGTATCTTCTCGCTTATTGGATTTCCTTCTGGCTTGGTGTTTACCCAAATTAAGAAATATATGTCTAAGCGATACAGTGGAGTTGTTCCAGAGCCTGATAATAGAAACGTTGTTTACTGTTCTCTTTCATACTTCGGCCATGCGTCCAAAGCAATTTCAAGAGAATTGAAAGATTTGTTTTGAAATGCTCTCCGAATACTAATCTTCATATCATACTGGTGATTGATTTTAAAATGGGTTTGTTTTTTAGGTACAAAGATATCCTCCCTTCTCACATGCGATCGTCCCTATTTTATAAATTTAGTTTTGCACTATGTGCATCTGCGTACGTGTTGTTGTTAGCAGCTTGAATCTGCGTACGTGGGAATGATGTCACGCAACCTTTACTCTAGGGTCGCTAAGAGCAAAGGGAGGAGTTATAGGACTGGGCAGTTACTATCGCGCCCTCCTCATTCGGCTGTGCACACTCACGCCGGACAGTGCAACGTTCAAGTATCCGACACTGACTTTTAAGGTTTTTGCATCTTGTTCTGGTGTATCCGAGTGATCCGACCTGCGTATTTTGGAATCCTTGTTTATTTATCAAAAAATGCCTAGTTTAAATGCAGCCAATAGTTCTTACCCAATAGAAATTGTGAATAGATAGGTATTTACTTTATTACTCTTCCTTTTACCTGTAAACTTAGGTTTTTAACTTTGTTTTTTCTTTTGAATCTAAATTGGTTAACTTCTGATTGTATTTGTGTTCTAGATTTATCGAACTGACGATGGAGCTGGATTCCGAAATTTTTTAAATAGAGATATGCTGAATTTTTGTGAAGTTTTCTTCGATTTTAAATTTCTATTTTTTACTTTAAACAACCCATACCTACGATTGTATACATTCTATCGCTGCTATCATCCTGTCCTCAGGAAGAGTTCACGTGCAACGATGGCTCGTGCATCCCCCTAAATAGAGATATGCTGAATTTTTGTGAAGTTTTCTTCGATTTTAAATTTCTATTTTTTACTTTAAACAACCCATACCTACGATTGTATACATTCTATCGCTCCTATCATCCTGTCCTCAGGAAGAGTTCACGTGCAACGATGGCTCGTGCATCCCCCTGACGCAGCACTGCGACGGGCTGCAGCAGTGCCTCGACTTCGAGGACGAGGACTGCGATCAGAACTTCTGCCTCGTGCAGAACTATGACCGCACACGCGCTCCAAGCATGAAACTTCCAATCAAACTTTCTGTCAAAATCACTTCCATTTCCGACGTGGACATTGACAACGGGCGTATCAAAATTGGAATCGTTGTGAGTGAAACAAAGCTTGAATATGGTAAATCAATATTAGGATAAGCGTACGAAACGTCAATAATAAATGCGAGTTTGAAATTCAGACTGCACAAAATTGTAACATATAGAATATTATCCGTCTCATATGGAATATTATCGACACATTCGATTAAGTTTACAAACATATTCATAGCGGTAGTTAAATCAACGAAATTGGCATTATCGAAGGATTAAATAAAATATAAATACTTAAAAATGTATTCACCGATCAATTAGAATGACAAACAATTGGAATCTTTTAATCTTAGTTAATGTGGAACGTATGTATGGGCAAATTTTAAACCGTAAAGTGTCGAGTTCAATGGAGTCTGTTCTTAAAGTTATGAACAGTTTAGCGAGTTTTGTTCGACCCCATGTAACGCCTTATAAGTTTCCGTCGAAGACGGCAAGTTGGCAACTTCATAGAAGCAGACTGACATGCTGAATAATTCTTGTTGTCTGCATGAATATTTTTCCTCGATACGCTTTCACATTTTACCGTCACTTATTAGTAATTTGAAATCCTCTAACCTCAGGTAGTTACTTCATGGACTGACAAAAGAGTTGACTTTGTCCAACTTGAGGAAGAATTGGAGAAGAATACAATTTCAGGAGACATCTGGTACCCGAAATATCACTTCCAGCCTTTGGTATTCAAGGACGAAAGGGATTACTACCAGGGGAACAACAGCATCTCGTGGCTCATGGCAGAACGTGGAAACGCTCAGGGAACTAAAGTCTACAAGACCCAGAGGAGTGAGTCAAAAGTGATGGGATTCCTTATGACCTTCTTCAGTCCCCACCTTCTTGGTTCTGCATAATTTTTTAGATTGTAATAACGTAAATGACGAGAGATGAATGGTTTAGCAGGTTAAATATTGCATATTTAGTTGCATAGCACAACAACGCAGATTATATACCTAAATTCGGGAACAAGAAGGATTTCCTGTGAGGTTATTACCCAGGTTATATTTAAGTGAAACGCAATAACACTGATCGTTTGAGTCATTCTAACAAACTCGCTTAAATAATGTTCTAACAACGCTTAGACTTACGAGCTGTCTCAGCTTTTTCGTCATCTAACCAACAACACGGGCCTATTCCATCTACATTCTACACTAACAACTCGAGGGTTCTACACTAACAACTGGGTCATATGCAGTCAATTATTTCTAATATGAATGAGAGATTTCAAATATTCTGGCTGCATTTATTGTGTTCTGAAAACTTTAGGGACTGTATGTTTCTAATAACCTTATGGTTATTGCAAAGGGTTCAACTGGTCATAGAGGGTTCCCAAGTGGTGGTTCATTTAGCCACATTTGCAACAGGCAGTTCTATAGTTGTTCTCACCAGGATAAAGCAAGCACCTTACCGCCGATAAGTCCTCAAATTAACACAGTTATCAGTATGCCTGCAGTTCCTACTAACCTTATCAGCGGCAGGCAGTCTATTACCAGTATTATTAGCTGGTGATCCTAAGCAGTTGCTCTTTATAGTAAAGCATTGTTCTACTACATTGAAATAAAAAAGAACTGCTTTTTGATAACTCGGTTATCAGGAACCACCGACAACGAGGATGATAATACAAGGTTAAGAGGTACAATTTTTTTAGGGTGGATTAGTAATACATCCTGGTGAAAGGGATAATAACTCAATTTAGCGCAAGAGGTTTGAATCCCATCGTTTCATTTTCGATTGCATTGAACTGAAATTCTTTGCATTGAACTGAAAATTCATGAAAAGAACCAATGTTTTCCAAATCGCTCCCAAAAACTTCTCTTGCATTGAAAATTGGCTACAGAATTAATCGGCAATTGCAGTAACAATTGAATAATTTAATATAAACATCAAGTGATCGTGATTTAATCAACAACATCGTGACCCACTTCAGAGCGCCTGTACGAAGCCGAGGTGGTCCGCAAGGAGATCACTTCCTTCACTCTGCTCTGCGACTTCGACCTGGCCATCTACCCTTTTGGGGTGCATCCCTGCATGTACAACATCACTCTAGATGACCAGAGTGCCAATGGTCCATACTTCAACATGTCCGTGAGTTATGATGCACATTTTTGGGGTCTTATTATCACGTGTATGTGATCATGCTATGACAAGTTTTTGGGTCACAATTTTTCCAGTCAGAATTATTATGCTAGGAGGAGTTCACAGCGGAGCTACGGTGGGTTAAAGACTTGTGGTAATGATTCAAGTAAATAATACTTCGGCGAGCTACGGGTCAAACCAAATAGAGTTAGGCATCACACTGTAATGAGATACTAGTGAAGCTACAACAAGCTGCGTGTAATGTTTTGAGTGCTTGAAGCTCTTACTATGGTGTGATTTGAGTCAACACTTCATCCCCGTTGCCTGCTCCCTTTCGCAGGCAACGCAGCTGGAGCTAACGAAGCAGAAGATGTCGCTGTTCATGGTTCGGTACAGCGGCTTCCAGGAGCTAAACAACACTTCATCCCCGTTGCCTGCTCCCTTTCGCAGGCAACGCAGCTGGAGCTAACGAAGCAGAAGATGTCGCTGTTCATGGTTCGGTACAGTGGCTTCCAGGAGCTAAACAACTCCACGCCACGCACCATCACCGTTACCGTGCGTAATTTGTCAAAAATAATGCTTTATAAGTTATTTTGCTTTATACATTAATATATTCTATTGTCACGTTACTTAGCATGCCCATATTCGAGAACGCACCATTACCGTGCGTAACCAGTCCGAGCCAACACTCTCAGGCTTATATTAATTCGAATGTCACGTTAGGAGTCACGTCATGGAAGCAATTTAAACTACCACGTTATAGTGAAGTCATGATGCTAATTTACTTGACATTGGCAGACCCAAGTACACACAACGAATGTCATCCTTTACAAGCCAATTTGAGTTTGGGTCGAACCTCATGATGCTCACCAACGCTATCACCGCTTCTTCTTACAAGTACTCAATAGCATTCTTTTGTTCAGGTTGCAAAATTACTGTATTCAACGTGGCCAATTCTGGTAGCCAATTACTTCTGGTAACCACTCTGCCATGTGATCCCAGTGTCTCTAACCTCTTTTTCCATCACGCACAAGGCCGTCCATGTTATTCGTAAAGCTACATTCGCCGTACTAATAACAATTGATTTTTTAAATTCACGTTTTTCATTACGTCACACCTCGCAATGCATCTACGTAGCTTTAAACATTGTATATTGACATCATTCACGAACTTTCAAATGTTTCGCATTACTCATTCTAAAGCATATCGTAAAAAACTTTTGATGCTTTTATCAGGTAACGAAATTTTTTCTGTAATCTGGTATGTTGGTGAACATATATGAAAATGGTAGTCTAGGTGAATAGTTTTTCATGACTTTTCAGTGTCAATTATAATTTTGATATTCTCCTATGACTTTCTCTTAGTCCCAAAAATAATAATTCTTTAAAGTTCTATTTTTAACATGACGACGAATGTAAATAATTAACACAGAGAACGCTTTTGTTGCCTTAATTCAGCGGAGTATTTAATGTTTTGCATGTTATATATTACCATCGCCTGTGAAACAGGTGCTGCTAGAGAGCCTCTACGGTGGCTTCTTGTTAAGCATCTTCATGCCGGTCGGGGTCATAACCGCCATCGGCGTCTCCACCCTCCTTTACGCCTTCGAGAATTTTCAGTAAGTATAACTTACACTTCGAATTGGGCATTTGTAGCATATATATATTTTCGGATGACCTTCCATGAAAAAGAAGTGGAATTAGAGCAGTACATTCACAATTTGGGATAAATTTTACATTTTTCCGTTTCCAGGATAAAAATCAGGAGATTATTTGATCAAGTGAAGTAAAGCTGTCGTGCTGCGATAGGAAAGACCGGAATAAATCAGGTTATTTTACGAATCCAAACCCCTAATTTATGCGATCACGAAGCAATCATAAATTTAAGTTTAAATTTAAGTTTCACCGCATATCCTAGAGTAACGCAGAGCCCGTGTTACCGCAGAGACCGTATCGCAGTGACGCTCTCCTGCCTCATCGTCTTGGCGGGTCTGTACTCTCAGATCTGCGTCGTCATCCCCATCTCGGCTGCCCCGAAATTTGTAGATGCTTTTTTCTTTTACGCCATTTTGAGGATGTATCTTGTGTGTACCCATCATCTTGGCGTGTACCGCTGGCTCATCTCCTTCAAAAATCGCAAAGCCCTAAACCTTGAGAGGCGAAGTGCGCCGGCAATGGAACCAAACAAAAATCCATCAACAGCGGCGCCGACATGTATCGCACCCCTTAGCCCTCTCGAGTCCGACCTCAGAAAGAAAAGTGTTTCCCATCCTGGCTCCATCGGCGAAGATTCCAGTGAAAGAGGAAGAGGTTTTGAAGACGCAGGTTTGATTGTCGAAAAGTGCTTCTTTAAATCGAATTTGATCATGCCAATGGATACAGCTCATCAAGCGCCAGCAGCACATGAAGTCTCGGCAACTGATGCTTACCCTCCTCCGGATAAAATTTGCAACATGAATCCCTTCAATGCTTGTCTAGATAATGAAGAAACGGACAAGAAATTTGATGCAACCTACAAACGATTTACTGTCGCTAGCTACTTGACCGTCGCGTCTGGAATTGTGTTTGATCTAACCTTCTTCGGGCTAAGCGCTTATTTTATTTCGAAGTCGAGGCAAGCAGTCTTCAGCGAGTACCCGTCTGTTACCCTAAACAACTGAGAGGCGTGCGTACTTATTGTGGATGCCACGAATTTCTATTGGCCCAACTTATTTAACATGTCTTTCTGCATTCAACTGGAATTTGCCTACCATTAATAGGTTTAAAATTAACAGAAGTGGTAACAGATAGCATAAGATTCACAAAAGTAAAGCATGACATTAGAGTTCAGTGATTGAAATTGGCTTACTTGCGCTTGTGAACAAAATCATGCACGAGTTTAAGAAATGACATAATTTAGACATATGGAAAACCTAAACGGCTGTATGTAGTCTTAGCCGCCTTCATTCCCAAATAAAAATTATATGTTTAAAATCGATGATTATTGGTGGCAATAGGTGAAAAACCGAAATTTGTAGATGCTTTTTTCTTTTACGCCATTTTGAGGATGTATCTTGTGTGTACCCATCATCTTGGCGTGTACCGCTGGCTCATCTCCTTCAAAAATCGCAAAGCCCTACACCTTGAGAGGCGAAGTGCGCCGGCAATGGAACCAAACAAAAATCCATCAACAGCGGCGCCGACATGTATCGCACCCCTTAGCCCTCTCGAGTCCGACCTCAGAAAGAAAAGTGTTTCCCATCCTGGCTCCATCGGCGAAGATTCCAGTGAAAGAGGAAGAGGTTTTGAAGACGCAGGTTTGATTGTCGAAAAGTGCTTCTTTAAGTCGAATTTGATCATGCCAATGGATACAGCTCATCAAACGCCAGCAGCACATGAAGTCTCGGCAACTGATGCTTACCCTCCTCCAGATAAAATTTGCAACATGAATCCCTTCAAGGCTTGTCTGGATAATGAAGAAACGGACAAGAAATTTGATGCAACCTACAAACGATTTACTGTCGTTAGCTACTTGACCGTCGCGTCAGGAATTGTGTTTGATCTAACCTTTTTCGGGCTAAGCGCTTATTTTATTTCGAAGTCGAGGCAAGCAGTCTTCAGCGAGTACCCGTCTGTTACCCTAAGCAACTGAGAGGCGTGCGTACTTATTGTGGATGCCACGAATTTCTATTGGCCCAACTTATTTAACATGTCTTTCTGCATTCAACTGGAATTTGTCTACCATAAATAGGTTTAAAATTAACAGAAGTGGTAACAGATAGCATAAGATCCACAAAAGTAAAGCATGACATTAGAGTTCAGTGATTGAAATTAGCTTGCTTGCGCTTGTGAACAACATCATGCACGAGTTTAAGAAACGACATAATTTAGACATATGGGAAACCTAAACGGCTGTATGTAGTCTTAGCCGCCTTCATTCCCAAATAAAAATTATATGTTTAACATCGATGATTAGTGGTGGCAATAGGTGAAAAATACAGGTTACATTACACCGATGGCGCATCGATGTCGTGTCCGGCCTATGTTCCACCTATAACCTGCCGATGGCCACCCTACCCGAAAAACTCTTCTTCCACCAATAACTACCCACTGGCCCCGGTGGCGCATCGATGAGTCACCGATGACCAACTTCAAAATGAAATCGATAAAAGTTTTTTGTTTAGCTACTCGATGCATTTGCAAGTACTAATATTGACTCACATGATCACACATTCTAAGGAATGCGTATGCACATCCACTATGGCAGGATAAGTGACAATGTCAGGCATGTAGCAGGAACAAAAATTATCACAGTAGTGAGAAATTATTTATCACATATCACGTGAGAAATCAACTTCAAGAGAAGTCCCTGTCTGCAGGATTCGAACTTTGACTACCTTCGCGCGAAGCCAAGCCTCTACCGTTGAGTCATCGGAGAGAACTTGGTGTTCAAGTAATTTTAAGAGATTAATCGAACTATTACAGGTATTAATTTCATCAAATGACATAAATAAATGCTACCACCGCGATGATTACATGGTTACATTAACCATTTTATTTGAACAAGCTTTCATATAAACAGCCACTGAAAGAAGCATCATTTCGCCATAACGAACGATAGTGCAACTCAGAGTTAAGGCTACGAGAAAATATTTGATAAGTATCGAAACTTTATAATGTGAACATTGCACCAATTTTGACAGTTCTTCAATTCGAAAGGTTTTCGTCAAGAATATTCTAGCGTGAAATAAATAATGTCGCTATTCACTTCGTGTTACTATTTTTCTCTAGCCTAATCTTTAATCTTTTGCGTAGGAAAGATACCGAGACCACTTCATTAGAAATGTAGACTTAAACCCAAAACAAATTAATTGACGGTATAATCGACGGTATTAACCGACTGACAATCGACTTGTTTACGATGTGGTCACCCACCGTTACGCCATCTATCATCGCCACCAATAATCATCGATGCACCGCCCTTAATTTTTATTTGGGTTGGAAGATACAGTTGCGATTGAAGCGATATCGTGCAGGGATTTTACCTGGGCTGGAGATTTTTTTCTCACTTATGTAATAATGAGACAAATGGCAACAGGGTGTGCGATTTAATTAAAAGAACTAACTTCCCTTTTTTGTTGCGTATAATTTAAATTTATTTCTATAATTAGAATGAGAATTCACAGCATTTAGAAAGTGGAGATGTATAACATATTTTGAGTGTTAATTGTTATCAATAAAGTTCATTAAACATAAATCTAATTGATTGAGAATATTAAGAATGTTGAACCAAGCGCTGCAGTGTGTGTAGGGTGTGAGTGTTCCGAGTCTGCGTATATAGGAGAGTTTTTTAACAACGGCTGAACCCAGTGAAAATTTACAGACGCGTCAGCTTCTGATTTGGATTACCGGAAGCTGGGGCGACTCTAAATTTTGTTAGAGAAGTGTTTCGGAGGCACCTGTCCAGCACCGTTCGTCGTAAACAAACTACCCCTAGCGGGCTCGCAACATGCACGCTTTATACACACAACAGCGCTTTGTTCCATATTTCTAACCGTCTAAACACCAGCGCACCACGTATCATATTAAAGTTATAATTATTACAATTTATTAATTTGTTCCTAAAAATACGCTCTCTGAATAGAATTACTTAGATGAGTTATAGATTAAAACGGTTTGCTCTTTCTAAACATTATTCTATTATGATAATTATGAAGTGAATTCGTGACAGAGAGATTCTAAATTTTGTGAGTTTCACCACCCATCAACACATTTTCCGTGTTTTTTTCGTGATCCTGAAATTCCTGATAATATCAATGGCAGTCTTCTTATAATGTATATGTTTGTAATGTGCATACGTATTACAACTTCTATAATAATATGGACAAGATATCCCCACCACGATTGTTAAATGTTAATATGTGTACCTGCTGCTATCATGTTAATATGTGTTCCGGTTATAATCCTATCATATAATCAGTGTAGGCATATCAAGCCGTTGTGGTCTAATTGGATCTAAATATTAAACTGCATGAGCTCACTGATTGACGACTACAAATCATTCTTACTTGCATGGTTACTTGGAGGGCATTTGCTTGAAATAACTTTATTTGCGAACAGAATAATCTAAGGCTTATTATATTTATATAGATTCAACACCAAGTCATAATTAAAGTATCAATAGTATGCACTTTAATTTTTAGGGTTACATATTATCTATCGCATGGTTAATTCATCGTTCTTCTAAATTTACAAAGTGTATCTATTAGGCGTTTGAATATAAACACTGTCATCGTCAATAAAACCATGCTTTCATTGCTGTATTTGTCTTTGATTATTCATAGAACTTCAATAAATGAACTTCAACATTCTTATTTGAATTTCAATAAATGAGTTCACTGAATCGCATGTCATCTTTTACACTCGCTTCACAGGTGACTGTAAATTCCTCACAAATTGAAACTCGTCTGTTATAATGTTATAAGTTGAAAACATGCCATTTCGCCTGAATTTAACTCACATGTAATAAACGGAGGATAATTGGGTTATGAAATAATGACTCGAAACAAAATAAGTATTTGATTCTGTCAGCACGAAACTCTTCAAGATGTTTACGAACGTTAACATGAAAACGAAAAGACGAGATAGTTATTTTTCCGAAAATTTTGATGTGATGACACGGCAGCTATGTTCAATTTAATCTTTTAAAATCACATTTTATCAATATACATAGTTGCAGCTCATTGTCAAAAGGTACTTATGAATGTTGAACTCATGGTTGAAGTAATAGTATAGTATTAATATTCAACCATGGTTGAACTAAACGCTGCAGTGTGTGTCGGGCGTATATAATGTTTTATAAATAATTAAGTTAATATCAAACTGTTTTGACAACGTTGACATTTGAAATAATATTATTTACCGCGTTTTTTCGCGTGAACAATACGCAACTTATAGGCACACAAAATGTTGATTAAAATCTTACATGCTTTTGATATGTAGTTCTGTCTCCATGCCTGTAGGCAGCGGGTCACTTTCTATCATAATTAGTTCTTCACTTGTCCAGTCAGGAATAAAGAAGCCACTTGCTGGCCACGAAACGTAAGGAAAAACAGTGATTCCAGCGTTACATCTTGATGGAAGTATTACTAGAAGTATATACCTGTAAAGGCGGCAAGAAAGTACTTTCTTTCCCGCAGCGATACATCGGTAAAAAAAAGAGTAGCTGCTTGCCCGTGGCACGCCGTTGGGGGAAAAAACTAGTTTGTTGCTCCCAGCGTCAATACAACAGAAAAATTTCCACTAGCTTACAGCGCAATGTTGAAAAAAAAAGATAGTTACTTGATCTCGGTGCAACTATGGGGGGAAAATATAGCTACGCAATATTAAAACAACGACGGGAAGAATTTATTTAATTACTCGCTGTGCAATGTAGGTAGTTGCGTAGCGGGGGATGGAAGATACTACTTGTTCGCAACAACTTAGTAGGAAGTATAAAGTCTTTACTTGCACACTGCTCTTTGTCGGAAGGAAGTAGCTACGTGATCACATCATCGGTAAGGAAGTCGCTCCTCATTAAAAATAGCTCCCCCCAAATTGTGCAAATGAATTGTGAACTAACTTAACAATTAATTGCGTATCTCTCAGTTCTAAATATCGTTTTTATTCTGCGTGAAAAACT